CGATTTGAAAAAATCAGATTTGTGCTGTTCACACTGTCATAAGGAAATCGGATATGGGTCACATTTGGGCAAAAAGATCGAATTTGGGCAACTTCAGCCTGTAGTGTGAACGTAGTCAAAGTGATGCTGAAAAACTGGTCCATGCATTTGTTACTTCCAGGCTGGACTACTGTAACTCTTTACTATCAGGATGTCTCAATAATTCCCTAAAAAGCCTCCAGTTAATCCAAAATGCTGCAGCCAGAGTACTGACAGGAACTAGCAAGAGAGATCATATCTCTCCCATATTAGCTTCTCTCCACTGGCTCCCTGTAAAATTCAGAATAGAATTTAAAATCCTTCTCCTAACATACAAAGCCCTTAATGACAAGGCTCCATCGTATCTTAAAGACCTCGTAGAGCCTTATCATCCTAACAGAGCACTTCGCTCTCAGAGTGCAGGTTTACTTGTGGTTCCTAGAGTCCACAGAAGTAGAATGGGAGGCAGAGCCTTTAGCTATCAAGCTCCTCTCCTATGGAACCAACTCCCAGTCTCAGTTCGGGAGGCGGACACCCTCTCTACCTTTAAGATTAGACTTAAGACGTTCCTTTTTGATAAAGCTTATAGTTAGGGTGGATCAGGTGACCCTGAGCCTTCCCTTAGTTATGCTGCTATAGGCCTAGGCTGCTGGGGGGCCCCATGATGCTCTGAGCTTCTTTCCCCTCCCCTCCTGCTCTGCTCTGCTCTCCTCTCCTCTCTCTCCCTATGCTTCTATATGCCACCATTACACATCACTAACTTTGTGTCTCCTCTCTCCCATAGTGTGTCCTCTCTCTCTCCCTGTACCTTTCTACAGGTTGCCCTGGCCCTGGAGCTCTACGTCTCTGATGAGCAGTCACCAGCCACATCGACCTGATCAGTGTTTCATTGTTGTGTCTTGTTGCTTTTCTTCTTCTCTCTCTCCTCTATCCACTCACCCCAACCGGTCGAGGCAGAAGGTCGCCCACCAAGAGCCGGGGTCTGTCGGAGGTTTCTTTCGTTAAAGGGAGTTTTTCCTCCCCCCTGTCACGAAGTGCTTGCTCAATATGTAATAATACTGATAACAGTAAGGTCTAGACCTTACTTTGTAAAGTGTCCTGAGATGACTTTTGTTGTGATTTGGCGCTATACAAATAAAATTGGATTTGATTTGATTAAAGTCAATTTAAACAATACCACCGAGTGGAAACGGAACAAACTGCTGTGAACGTTTGCGTGGACAACAGCGCCCTCTTGTGTCCAAGCGAGCAGCTGCATTATGAAGCGACCACATGTCAGACTGCAGCAGCTCAGTGAGGTCAAGAGCTGTTTCTACATGGCATCATCATCAAGTGGCAGACTTCCTGTAAAACCAGAGAAAAAGAGCACCCTCCTCCTCCTCCAGACTGCGTGTAACAGCTCTGATTCAAGTGCATGTGACACATTCACAGGCCAAACGTCGGCTGTCCCTCTCTGGATCTACAGTGTGTTCCTGTAATACTCTTTTCCCTGGACCTCGGTTTGTCCCACAGTAAAACACTAATGTCCTCCCACCACCCTGGGTTTATTCAGTACGCACCCCAAACATGTGGTTTAGATGTGAACAAATCAATAGAAACAAAAGTCAAATAGTTAAAGTTTAAAGGAAGAAGCAGGAAGTAAAATGCAGTGAGGGCTAAAACCAAACTGAACGTAGGGTAAATTCAGTGACTTTTCCCTTTTAGAACGAACAGCGTTATAAACAGAATCCTCTTTATCAATAACTGGTTTGCTCCGCTGTCCCACTGAGCTTCACTGGTGAGATCTGGTTTTATGCTCAGTGCCAATGTACAGAAACAGTCTGTCAGTGAGAGTGTGCATGTGTGTGTCAGCGAGAGTGTGCATGTGTGTGTCAGTGTCTTCCTCTTCTAGAAACTGCTCCTTAATCTGCCTCTCTGTGTGTCAGGCCTGGCCCTGAATGTGGCTGCTGCTTGATCACACTCCACCTTGCTCCAGGTGAGGGTGGAGCCTGGGGTGCAGACTGACAGCCTGCAGCAGCTGTTTCACTTCAAATGCAGCTCGACTGAAGATGGTGGAGCAGTTCCAGTGAACACCAGGGAAACTTTAGCAGACGATGACCATAAAACAACGACAAAATGCCAACACGGGCCAACAGAGTTGCTATAGTTTGGTGAATATACACGAAGACCCGGTTTGACTCAGTTACTCACAGCCACATTTACATTTTCCTCTGTTCATGTTAAAGAAAAAAAGGAATCTATAACCGTTTATTAATCTGAATACAAATGCATCGAAAATAGACTTTTTCTTTCTAAAACGGAGGCCAGACGCATTTCTCGCCTCTTATTACTTCTATGGTTCCAGTTGGTTCCCATTAAACCTGTGGTTCTTGACCTTTGGCTTATGACCCCCAGTCAGGTTCTCTTCAGACCCCTCCCCGGAGTTTGAGGGGCTACAGATGCTGTTGCTGTGGAGACGGAACACAAACAAACGGCATCCGGAAGCAGGCGGACCTCTTCCTTTCATACAGGTACGTTACGTTAAAGCAGAGAAACAACCACGGTAGTTTGATTCTACACACATTCAGGTGAAACGTCTGACGAATAGGCTAGGAAATGTATGTGGTGATGAACCGGATCTAACGTTAGTCGTTGGCCTGCAGGCGGGTCCGTGTTGGCCGTAGCACCGTGCACCGTGTCCTCACTTCTGTCGCCACGTATCCATCTTTTAATCAGAAAATAAGAGCGTGTCTAGTGTCTGTAGAGCTCCAGCCTACGACACTTATCAAGAGCTTTATAAGCTGCAGTAGGTGGACTAATACGTGATTTACTGACGCTTTAAGTTCATAGGGACAGGTTTGGGGTTGCCAGGTCTTGGGTTGCCAGGTCTGTCTTTTCCTGAGGGCGCGCTGTCCGGACCCGTTTGACCGCAGACTCACTGTGCAGACAGGCCGCTGATGTGCATGTAAAACTCCTTTAGTTTCTGACGTAAAACATTCAAACCAGATTAATAGAGATCTTTGTTAATTCATTCCTTCATTTTGCCTTTTATTTCTCCGCCCTCAACATGATTTATTGTCTGCTTCCTTCAGTCTCTGCTGTTAACCGGTATTTCTACAACCTGAAACTACAGTGATATTTTGGTTTTAAAGAAGCCAGCAGCAGCAGTGACGAAGAACAGGGATCATGCCGAAGAAAGTGAAGAAAGGTGGAGGAGGTAAAGGATGGACGGAGGAGGAGAGACTGGCGTCCCAGCAGCAGCGGGCCAAGGCCGAGGAGGAGGCAGCCAGGGAGAGGGAGGATCTGCTCACACTGTTCCTGAAGGTACAAGTCCCACCAGGGTTCACGTTTACAAACGAGTGTCCTGTTTCTACAGGATGTGCGAGGCTCAGAGTGCTCGTCGTTTCTAGACCAGTGTCAGTAATAGTCTGTTTTCCATATCGCAGTTTGAAGATGTTCAATTGTTTGCATTTTACACGGTTTCAAAAACCTCAAAGAACCTTTAGATTTGTTTCAGTGCAGTTTAAAATGTGAAACAAACATTTGTCCCTGTGCTGAAATGTGTTCCGTGATGAGCTGCAGGTGTAATATACGGTTACTCCTGAAGTTGGCACCTTATATTTCCCTTCCCCACTCGTGCACAACGGCAACAACACATTTGGTCAAACCGAGCTCGTCAGTCAGTGACCACCTGACAACTTGTTTGGCACCAGGACAAGTTGCAGAAGGAGCAGAGAAACACTGCGGTGAACGCGCTGAAGGTGAACGACGGCTGGAGGACGACTCTCCGCCAGACTCGAGCCGCCGAGCTGCGCACGGACATCAGCATCCTCTCACAGACGTTCGAGAGGCAGCTGGACGGCGCGTGCAGCACCATCAAGGTGAGACAGACCCATTATAACCCCCAGGTTTCCATGACAACCGATAAGGTCTAGGAGGGTGCATGAAGTTTATGGTTTCCGTTCTCTGGGAATAATCCTGAAAAGAAATGCATTTATAAACTACTACTACTACTAATAGATGCATAGTGTAAGTAAATAAAGTAGAAGCAAACAGTAGCACTAAGTATCCTGACAGGAGCTCTTTAAATAAAATGTTGTAGTTTTCTAATTCAAATAGTTCAGAGGATGGGACATTCTTACACTAATAATATGTTCTCGTATTTTATGGTTCTTGTTTTCAGAATAGGCTCCAACATTTTTGGTTTCCAAGTGAATTATATGATGCGTGGCCTCCAGCTTTGTCCAGATGCTTCGCAGTGGGAGTATTCTAATAATAAACGTTTACAGAAACCATCATCCTACTGACATGTGGTGGCACATGCTGCAGGCATTTAAACTGGGAACAACCTGTAGCTATGGCAGAAGCTCCTCCAACTCTTCATTGTCTGTGCTTCACTTCCTGTTTGTGCCCAGACCCTGGAGCGCAACCTGCAGGAGGCCGAGCGGCAGGCGGCTCAGGAGCGGCGTGCACATCTGCAGCACGTGCACCGTCTGTCCACTCAGCAGGAGAAGCAGGTGACATCTGTGCAGCAGCAGTGGGAGAGCGGCCTGCAGCGCCTGAGCTCCAGGTTCAGCTCGGAGAGGTCAGTCCCCCCCCCATGACACAGTCTGTCACATGTATGTTCACGTCACGGTAACTAATGAGAGCAGCAGGCGCAGTGTTGAGCCAAGAAAACCTTTTAAAGTGGGACGAGGAGACCAATCAGGTGCTAATATGAGACATCAGAGACACAATGACTCCAGACAGACAAGCAGGCAAAATGACACCACAAAGATTCATTAAAATCATTAAGGATGGTCTACTGTCGAGTTCTGACCCAGAATCTCTGGTGTTTCAGGGAGCAGATGTTGGCACACTCCCAGCAGCGGCGAGCTGATCTGGATGACGCCATGTTCGCCCTGGAGCAGAAACACAAGGAAATGATGAATGAAATCCACAGACTGTACAGGGAAGGCATCGCGCTGTACGAGAGCGCTCAGGAAGACCAGGTAGCTCTCACAACCAGTTCTCCTTCACCTTCTCCTGTCAAATGTTTTATATTTGTGACTCGGCTGTGCGTCTGCTGTCTCCCCCCTCTCTGTGCACAGAGGGCTGCGCTGGCCCTGGGGGACAAGGAGAGGCTGTGGGAGAAGACCCTCGAGAACCAGCAGGCTCTGCAGCTCTACCACCAAGACTGCATTGAGCTGGACGCCTTGGTCAGCGAAAACCAGTCATACATGGAAAAGAAGGACCAAATCATGAAGGAGGCTAAAAGGCTGCGGGTCAGTGCAGAGAGCGAATCCACAGATGGGTTGGGGAGGTTCAGTCCCTCTTAAGATTCAATTCTGTTGACACAAGCGTTTGATTCACTTTCATCAATAAGTGTGAATGTGTCTGCAAATCCTAGCCTCACTTTGTTTGTGGAAATGTGTGTGTCTTCTCCGTGGAGGTTCGAGTCCGAGATCCTTCTCTGCCTGCTCTGCACAAAGTCACACATACCCTCAGCGCCTGCTGAGCTGCTCCCCAGTTGCCTAAATCCGCTCTGCATCTGTTCCTGTCCACTCAGGTCTTTGCATATGACTCATGAGTTGTTTCTAATGCTAAGCACGTAGCAGAACCCTAAACCAAGTTGTACAGATCATTTGACTTGGTTACTTTAAAGCTGCGTCCACATCCCAGTTACAGTGTTCCAGACCTGGTGTGTCCACAGCAGTGTGAACAGACCAAACCAGATCTGGGCCAGCCGCATTATGTGCTCCTAGATCCGAATCCTCTCCGACCTGTGGCTGTGTGAGCGCCGTCACAACGGTCAGATCAGAATCCATGTGGTTGTTTTAATGCCTCCTCCTGTGCACATATGGCCTGTCGTCATCAGCATTCGGCCCGTCGTCATCGTCGTCGTCGGCCCTTCACAGACCGGTAACAATAAAGTAAATATTAAGGAAGCTGATAGAGCACATCTTGTTTGTCAGGCCCATTTTCCCATCATGTTCTCAGTGATTTCGAAGGTCTGGTGACATTTTGTTGTAAAACCTGTCCAGTCCATCTCCGGTCTACCCCCTCCAGCTCCGCCTTGGAGCACAGCTGACAGCCTGTTGTTCTTGGCCTGTTTTAAGCATCAAAGTTCATTTATGACCGTGAGATTCCCTCAGCTTCTGTAAAGCATTAGTGGACCTTCTACCAGGTTTCACTTACAGAGAGCAGGATGGTGGCTTGTTAATGAAACCCTTTCTCTCCCAGGACAACATCATTCAGCTGCAAATGAAGCTGAACGTCAGGAAGACTAACAGCGAGAGGGCAGAGCTATATCTGACAATCGCCAGAAACCAGGTGAATAAAAGTACTCAAGAGCTTCGGCACCGGCTAGCTCGGGCTCAGATGGCGGCGAGGACACAGCTGACTGACCTCACCGTCCAGAGTGCCGCCGCCACCAAGAGGCTGCAGGCCGCCATCGACAAGGTGAAACTCCTCACACCCAGTTTGTCCACTCAATGTCCATCACACGCACATTACCATCGTCTCTGATTATGTTTTCACTCCCTCCTCTGTTTCAGGGCAATAGGGTTTTACGTATCGCTGAAATGTGCAGAACGCTGGAGAGGGAGCAGGAAAACATGTTAACATCATCATCAACTGCAGATAATCAAAGACAGGAAGGATCTGCGACTGAGGAGGAGGAACTAGAAAAGGTGGGCTTTGATCCTGGGCCTCATTTCTTCCTTTTGGCCTCAGGCCTCCTCTGTTGGACTGATCCTACAGGGCTGTCAGAGCTGGTTCAAGCTCCTCGCTCAGTAACCAAGGCTCAGGCTGTGGCCAGAAGAAAGTAGTGGCACCGGGTGGTCAGGGGAATTAAAGCAGCCATTTCACAACAGAAACAAGGAGGTAGGAATGACACTAAAACAATTAAAAGCCAAACTCCAGCAGCTGTAACACACTGGCCCCTTTACACTTAGCACACAACAGGATGCAGGTAAACAGGAATCATCCTGAGAGAACGCGACCTGGGACAAAGCTTTAAGGTGTAACTGGTGCTTTGACAAACTCCTGATCGTTTTTAGTGCTGCTACTGAAACACAAGTCAAATTGTCCCACGCTGACCTGTGTCCCTGTCCGCAGGAGACTCCAGAGTTTCCAGAGCTGCAGCAGGTGATGCGACACATCAACACTGCTCTGCTGCACCGAGAAGCCCTGAAGAGACACCGAGGGGATCTGAGCCGAGAGAACCAGCAGCTGAGGCTCCTGCTGCGGCAGCACCTGGACGCCATGACAGTCAGCAACAGCGACCTCGACACACACCACGCTCTGCTCACCGTTTACCAGGCCCCAATCAGGATGGCCCCACTGGACGCCGACAGACACCACACCATCATCGAGGCTGTGCATGTCATCCAGCACTCACTGTAACACACAGCTCTGATGAGGAAATAGAAGATTGTGAAGATGTTTCATAATACTCAGTAAACCAAATCCATTTGTCGTGTCCTGACAACTGCTTTCTATGATGATGCTTTTGAATTAAACTCCTGTCCTAAGTGTCTGAAGTGAGTCATGAAAACTGGTCTTCATTCACTGTTCTCATCATGGAGAGTGCAAACATCTGTACACTGTGAAAAGTGAACGCACCTGAAAAAGGTTTCTGAAAACATGAGCATGAAAACGTGCTGCTCTTGATGTTTTTACATCTTAATGGATTTCAACAGAACAGTTGATCAGGTTGTTTAATAATGTAAATGCAAAAAAAGACACTTTATCAAAACAGTTGGCAATTAATTTTCTTTTGATCAACTTATCAGTGAACTGTTGCAGCTCTACTGCAAAAGCTCCCTACCTGAGCTTTTATTTTGGTGGTGTGTTTCCTGCGGTTCTGATGCATCTGGATCCAAAATATTTCTAATGAGCACAGGGTTCTACAGAGTAAGGGGTGGAGCAGCAGCAGGTACAGGTACACCATTTAATCGTTATAGACATTTTATATACATTTCAACAGTTGTATTCTGCTTTGTGGTACAGTCTTTAAAATTGTTTGTCAATCAAAAAAAAAACCTTACAAAACTCATCAAAACTCGCAAACTGATCAGATTCTTTTTAAATCCTTTTTGGAAGACTAGAAAAAAATACTTTAACTGTAGTAATCATGCATTACACAAACAAAAAGTCTTCAGTTACACAGTAAGTTGTAGCGTGGATGAAAATGAGAGAGAGACTCGTTTGGAGTCGTGCTCAGTCTGAAGCCGCTGGCGTCACAAATCCCTTCTGTTAAAAAAATTAAATTAAAAACAAACAAGCCACAAAGATAAAATCTAACTCCCCGTGTGTCAGAGCCAATCAGGTGGCAGTTCCAGGAAGCCTCTGATTGAACAGTTTCTCCTGGAGCTCAGAGACTAAAAATGTCCAGTGATATAAAGAAGCCGACTGCTGTGGTGAAAAGTCACATGTGAGCAACGTGAAGAGTCACACAGTGATATGAGGACGAGGAGGAGGAGCAGGGAGTGAAGAAGACAAGTCACACAGGTGGCGCTCCAGGCTCCTGTACGAGCCTGTGGCATTGGCACCTGTTTACAGGTGTGGTGGTGCGTTCAGGAGCACTGCACCACTCTGAAAACCCAAACTGGTTTATTAGCAGAAGCTGCAGCTTTAAACTGGGACCAGTTCAGGTGCTGACCTCGGAGTAGGAGCTGCGCTAGTTTAAGAATAAAACAACTTCGGAGATTATGTGGAAATAAATCTGACAGGCAAAATAAAATGTTGCTAAACCTTCTAAGAGTTCACAGTTCTGCTGTAATGGGTCTCAATATAAATAGAAAGATTAAAACAGTCTTTTCATTGCTACATGCATAAAGTAAAAACCAAAGATTAAAAAAGTGGGAGCAGGGATGTGTTTAAACCATAGACTGTACATAAAAGATGGACAACGTGTCACCACTTCCCTCCACTACCCAAACCAAAATATCAAGAACACGGCGGCTGCCATCTTGGCATTTTGCAACCAGATTCTGCCCTGTAGCGTCGAGTTGCAGAGTGACCTATCAGCTGGCCCGTCAAATCAAATGAAATACACCCATCTTTTATATCAAATAACTTGTTAAAAACAAAGTTGCCAGAAAAATGACCACTCGTTGACACGTCTGCGTGATAATATCCACCACAGAAGTGACCTTCAGGAAAAACATATCTGAGTTGTACTTTGAGATTTTAGTTTGCCTCATGTTCCATCCACCAACACAGAGGGGGCGGGGTTTACGACCTGTACTGCAACCACCCACCAGGGGGCGATCGAGTCATAGTGACTTCTTGGAGCAGTCATGGTGTCCATGTTTTATACAGTCAGTGGTTTAAACAAAGTCCAAACCATGAAACTGAAGACAGCAGAGCTAGAACATCTGAGCAGCTCCTCCTGTGCTCGCACTCGACAGTGTCGCCTAATTAAAAGGACAGAGGCAACTGATGAAAATGTGCAAACCCTGTTTTGCTCCTGACTCCACCCTCCACCCCACATGGGCATGAGCACACTGCTCCTTCTCCTGGGCCGAGTCTCAACACTCCTCTGCAGCTCCCTCTCTCTTCTCCTCTCTACATCAAGTCTGTGTCAGGATCCAGAAACTGAACACAAGAACCAGACTTCCTGTCCACATGTCAGACGAAGGTCTGAAACTCATCATGTGACAGGAAATGATGACAAGTAGATGGGCGGGGTCTGTGAGCATCATGATGGCAGGGCTGGACAGCAAAGAGTAGCCAGAGACCTCATGTGGAGACCTTTATAAAAAGATTATAAAAACTAGATTTATTACAATAACGCTAATGTTTGAATCCTTCGCTCGTTACGCCAGTGGAGTTTAACCACAGGGCTCTGATTGGCCCACCAGGGGCTGAGGTGGGAGAGTATGAACCAATCGTCTACATCCAATCAGCTCAAATCTCAGCACAGACACAAACAGAAGATCAGATTTTTAACTACACTTGTTCAGCAGCTCTTTTGGTTTTTCCAATTCCATTTCTGTCCTAAGACACAGGATATCATCTGATCACAGGTGTTTTCACTGAAGCTTTGGTTGTTAAACAGAGAAAAACCAGGGCGAGTTAAAACATCACGTTCTGTTCCTGTGCTGAACCACCTTAAAGGAAAAATCCCCCTCGTGTTCCTCCGCTCAGTTGGTGATGTTCCAGCAATTAGACCGTTTCATTTACTGAGTTTACCCCTCAGTCAGCGTTAACCTATTCTGCTGCTTTTCCCAGAATGCCCTCAGTTACATCTCGGTGGCCTTCGTCGCTAAACATCTTCCCAGCATCCTGCTGTGTTTTGCTGAGTGAGGTTTCCGGACTTCTCTGCACTGAATTTGTTCCTTGTTTCCTCCTCTCTGCCGAGATCATGGTGGTAACATCACAGTGTACGGACACAGCCTGGAGTGCACGTCTCCATCACTGCAGCAGGCTCCGAGGTTCAGTCAGTGGAGCTAAGCAAACAGAAGATTGTCTAAACGGTCATGAGTGGAGGACCTGACAACCTGCACATCCTCAGCAACATCCCTGCTCTGTCAGCAAAACAACAGGAGGCGAGTGCGACGAACGGGACTTGTTCCTGATAAAAGACGATGAGTCCGTTATTTAGAGGGTTCATTAACAGGCAGTCTGGGACCTTGTGGTTAAGATGATGAGGGGAACTTCCAAAGCAAAGACACCACACCAATCTGGTGAACTGATCAGTAACTGTGGAGCAGCTGCTGCGGCACTAACGTGGCAGCGCTCATGTTCTGTGAAGGGGTGACACTCAAACCTGACGTTTACTTTCCGTAAGAAGAAAGACCTACCGAGCCACCGACACAGACACAAACTAGATCATCACTGAGCTGAGGCGGGGGATTTTTCCTTTAACTCCACCCTCTGCTCTGGAGGTTACACTAGTGTCAACATGGGGGGTGGGGGCCATGTAATGTCATCAGAGCTTTGTTCAGACAGGGGGGAGATGATGTCACAGGACAGATGAGCCGCTACGTGTTGACCCGCTACCGTCTCAGTCTCTTCAGTCCGTCGGGGCGAACCATCCGCCCCCCCACCTCCATCAGTACGTGTTCTGTGTTCAGAGACCTGAACAGACCTGAATCCTGTTTGTGTGTGAACAGTCTGGCCTGTCTCTCTCTCTCTCTCTCTGTGTCTGTCTCTCGCCCCACAGCCATCTCCTTCTTCTCATTCTCATCTAGACGTAGACCCTGGCGAGGGCGTCGGCGCCGGCGGAGGCAATGTAAGCCTTGGAGGGGTGGAAGGCCACGTCGTAGATGGCCTCCTCACTCTTCTTGCGGTGAGCCGTGATCTCCTGAACGCACGTTTTACTGTCAAGGTTCCACAGACGCAGGGAACAGTCATGACCTGAGGAACAGGAGGAGACGTGTCATTGACCACCAGCCAGCTTCAACACGTTTAACACTTTGGTGGAAGTGAAACCTTCAGATTCTGCAGATCATCAGCTTTTCCGTGTGTTGAACAGAGACTTACTGCCAGACATCAGGTAGATCCCGTTTGGATCCACAGCCAGACTGGTCACTGCGTCCAGGTGAGCCACCATGGCATGGATCACTTTACCTGCAGACAGAGGACACGTCAGAGTGGTAGAGAGGACAGACGTGACACCTTTCTCACATTCAATGCTGGGCAGTTAGTGCTGGTCAGGAATCCAGTGATGATCTTTATTCCACCGTGAATACAAGAGCAAAACTAAATCCAAAAAAAGATGTGTGTCAGTTTACAGCTATGACCTGCTGTGACCTGCTGTGACCTGCTGTGACCTGCTGTGACCTGCTGTTGCTTTGGACAGAGCAGCAGTTTGGAAAAGAATTATTTTCCAAATGTCCAAGTTTTATTTAAAGTGTAACCAACGTTCAGAAAGTGAGGACAAGAGGAAATGTTTTGTAAAAGCGCCAATTTCATACTCAAAAATCAGTTTTGGAGCCTAGAGCCTGGGCAGAGCAGCATGTTGGGAAACTACTTTATCAAGCTGGAATATGGAAGACGCCGTTTTACTACTGAATGAATTAACTCTGACCTGTTGTAATCTGTCATGTTATCTCAATAGTTGTTGTCTAACAACTATTAAACCCAGCACAGTGAGCCACACGGCTACACCGCCTGGCAGGTTCCTTCCTCATGCTGTCAGCTTTCAACAAACAGCTAAAGACAGTATGGGAGGTCTACGGCCCAGAGCGATAAGCTAAACCAGACACATTACGGTGAGGACGCCATGTTTACTGGGGCTGCAGGTCTCTGGGCAAGGTTGGTGGTGAATGACAGACAGAGAAAATGACTGGCTGCGTCCTGTAAATGTGTTGGAAAAGAGGGGTGGGGGGTTATTTCACCCATTCAGTGATGTTTTAATGACAGTGATGAGGTTCATTTGACCTCACTGATTATCAGGGTCCCATGTTGGTGCCCAGATGCGGGGGCACAAGTTCACACACCGACACAGAGCAAACACTGTTCTCAGACTCCAGTAAGAATCTGCAGCAGGTACCAAGGGGAAGCCGACTCACCTGACTTGTTATCATAGAATTTGATGTGTCGGTCTTCATGAGCGGTGATGGTGACCGGCAGCGTGGGATGACTGACCACCCTATTGATATGATTTGACCCTGGGAGGGCTTTTGGGGGGGTTAGAAAAGAGAGAAATTAGCAGGAGGAAAAGGCGGCGAAGAAAGATGAGAACATTACACGCATTATTACACAAACTGCTGAATCTCCAAGTGTTCTTACTGCTGTCTCCCTGCCCCTTCAGCACCAGTGCATGCTGGGAAGTCTCCAGGTCGTACACCACCACGTCTCCACTGTTAAAGGACGCCACCATGTGGGCGGGGTCACAACCGTTGAAGTCCACCGATGTGGGGATGCCATGCTCTGCAGACAGACACATAGGCATATCAATAGGTCTGTGGCTGTTCCTGTCTCCTCCGGGGGGCGCTCTGCCCTCCGCCCCCTCGGCTCTCACCTTTGTTTGTGTTGAAAGTGCTGATGCAGGGGTTTTTCTCCGTCGGGTTCCACAGCTTCACCGTTCCGTCGGCCGAGCAGGACAGGAGGCGGTTTTTGATGCCGCTGTAAGCCAATCCCCACACGGCGTCCGTATGCCCCGTCCACGACCCTGCCAGGACACTGGGATCTGATTGGACAAGGACAAAGAAGGGAGGAGTCTTGTGTTTTGTGACAACTATATTTGAATGGAATAACTCGTGACTGAAAACTGTCCACAATTTAAAAACACTGTAGCAAAGTAGCGATATTGTTGGAAGTGACACTTCTGGAAAGTAACATCTTTAAAAATGTGAACTCTTCAGAAGGCGTGGCAATTTTGGGGATTGAGGTCACTTTTTTAAAAACAAGGGACATTTTTCAGGACATTTTCTGAGAAGTAAGAATATATTTTGAGAAAGTGGGGACATTCTTGAGAGACACCCAGCTACAGACAAGATGGCTGACAGTGACCAACATTTGTCCTTCAGCCGTACACACACGTGTGTGTGTGTGTGTGTGTGTGTGTGTGTGTGTATGTATGCTGTGGGGGGTGGGGGTACCGTAGGTGTCGTAGGGGTCGACATTAGAGCTGGGGATGTTCCACCACTGGACAGTCGAGTCAATACCTCCACTGAAACACTGCTCACCACTGGAGGTCATCGCCAGCGATAACACTGGACCGCTGGAACCAAGACAGGCAGATCAGAGAGGCGGGGACCTGGTTAGTTGTATCAGCAGCTTGTCAGAGCACCGAGACCTCAGCACCCTTCTACAGGCCTCGAACAACCTCAAAGGACTCTAATGTACCAAGTGTAACACTGCATTAGTTGTGTGTGTGAGTGCAGATACGTACACATGGGCTCTGAAAGTGTAGATGGGCTCCACATCAAATGAGGCACTTCTGGAAAACAGTGGAGATAAAACATGCAGCTTGTCATTTAACATGTCGTCATCATCATCATCATCCTGGAATCAGCCTGTTCACCTTCTCACTACAATCAGCAGCTAGTGCTTAAAAAGAGACTTGGAGCCGAGCTCTGTTGTGAAGTAGTGTGCTGCAGTAAATCCTGAGGGGATTATGAGCAGGACACTGACGCTGAGCCGAAAAGTGTCAGAGAACTGCTGTGCTGAGGACAAAACAAGATGCAAGTACTAAAGGATCTGTTAGGTGGGAGAGATGCAGGGAAGCCACAAATAAGAGCTGCAGGATGTGATCAGCTACTTTTAATGTGAGATGGGTCAACACCAACAGCGGTACTGTCACTGACTGCACAGATGCAGCCTGAGGCACAGACAGATACAGCACACCACCTTGGTAATGTAAACACTCTACTGTTCTTCCCAACAACACTGTGCTGTATACACTCAGCAGATTCAAAATGAAAGCCCTCCAGCTGATGATGATGAGAGCAAGACACACAGCATGTAGAAGAAAACATTTGCGGTGAAGCAGCTGCCTGTACTCGACTTTGTTTGCAATGAACGTTAATGGTCTGGGTAACAACATTGGTGCTAAGAACCTCTGCTTAAGTAGCTGTTGTGTAAGTCCAGGATACAATATGTAAGAGTAAGTAATGAGAAAAGAAACGAGGAAGTGCACATAATGCAGAAGTGCTCCTCCAATTAAAATGCTTATACACTATTTGATATTATAACAATGAAGCATTAAAATGGAAGCAACTGCTTAGGTGAAGGAGGTGGAGCCACATTTAACTTTAAAAGCTTTATTCAGTCACTGGCAAAGTAACAACAGCGTTCAGCTGCAGTGGAGCAACGTGGAGAAAAGCAGCCACCACCGCCACAGGATGTGTGTGAGAGATGAAAGGTGATTTGTCCTTTCAGCTCTACAGCTACTGCAACCTTCTGAACCCTCCATCGTCTCGTCACTGGCTCAGCTCAAGCTGGAGCTTTGTGTGTGGACGTACTTTTTGGCAGGGACAGTCTTGGTGAGGTTCCACAGTTTAAGGGTGTGGTCCTCGGACACGGTGACCAGGCAGGGCTCGACCGGGTGGAAGGCCAGCGCTCGGACGCCGTCAAAGTGGCTCCTCAGCGTGTACTTGGGGTTCCATGTCTTCCTGAACGAAGACTCCTTATTGGACGGAAGCTGAGGTAAAGAAATGGAGGGTCAGTTGGTTAAACTCATCAACAAACCCTGTACAGCTGTGGGTCTGTTTGTGGCTCACATCGTAGTTGTAATCCGTTTCATCATTGGCCACGGTGAGGTCAGCGAGGTCGCCCAGTCCTAGCACACTCTCCAACACGTCATCCGACCCCCCCAGCAGGAAGGACTTCCCCCCACCGGTACGAAACGGTAGAGGCTCAGCTACACAGAGAGAGAGAGGGGAAGTTTAACCTTCAATTAGAGCTAAGCCTGAAACAACTAGTCAATTCATCAGGAGTCGATTTAACTGAAAATATCAGTTAATAATTCAGTTTTTAAGCAAAAGTCCTAGTCTCAGCATCTTCACTGTGGTCTGCTGCCTTTGGCTTATTTCTTCTAAGTTGTTGACTGTTGGTGAGAAAATCAAAACAACCGCTTTGGGATATTTTTCAGGACAATGTTTAAAACCAACAACAACACTTCAACACTTCAGAATAAGCATCGCTTTTCCTTTTGCGAGGAGGTTTCTGGGTAGACCCGGTTCTTTTCTGAGGAAACAGAAACTGACTGGCTGATAACTGAACGCTATCTAAACACCAGCAGCTCAAACTGGATGTATGAGAAGGAAACCAAAGATTTTTTCTGAGTGAGTGTCCAAGTGTGTTCTGCCTCCCAAGTATCAACAAGGCCATATTCTTCACTGTCAGTCACTTGCAGAGTGACAGACACTACTCCAGTATTTGTTCATTAAAAGCATCTCGGGCCAGCTGTTTTGATCCAACTTGGTCTTGTTGTGTTCACATCTGTTCAAACAAACTGGACCAAGAAGGACGAAGTCCCAGAGTCCCATTCACCAAACCAAACACCCCATGTCTCTCACCCCACTCTGTTCCATCTCCAGAGCTCCGAGCTTCGCCCGCTCCCTCCCCGTCCTCGGCCGTCACCAGAAAGTCAAACTCCTTCAGAGCCTCCTCTGTGTCAGCATCGTCCTCCGACGCCAAGCCCTCGTTCCCCACCTGGATGATGAAAGTAGGATTCAGAGGAAGGAGCAGGGTTGGAAGAGAAGGAAGGATGGAATTAAAATAAGGATGCAAGGAAACAAAGAAAGGATAGTGGGGAAAAGGAGGAGTGAAAGAAAGTAAAAGAAGGGAGGAAGAAGGGGACAAAAATAGGGGAGAGAAGAAGAAAGAAGTAGGTGCCTTGTTGTCTGTGTGTGAGTGTGTATACCTTGGGCTTGTGTTTCTTGGTTCGGTGGTGTCTGTCTGTGCTGATGTCATCCATCAGGTCGCCCTCCTCATCCTCGTCCTCATCACTGTCCTCGGGGTTCTCCAGGAAGTTGAATGTCTCCAAAACGTCACCTGGACTCCTGCACACAAACTCACAGTCACACATTTCCTCCATGTGACCTCTGACCCCTGATAACTGCCTGTACAACTGTGTTTGTGAACCTCTTGTTGTCCTTGCGGCGCTCCGTCCCATTGATCAGGTGCTGCAGGTTTTTGCTCTCCACAGACCCGTTCTGCTCGGAGGACGACAGACCGAGCAGAGAGCGAACCCTCTGAGTGCGGACGTCCAGGATGGTGTCTGTGTAGCCCACTTCCTGCAGGTACCTGGAGACACACACACAGTTTTTTAATCACAGCAAACTGAAGCTCTGTGGGTTCTGAAGGCATCATGGACTGGAGCTGCAGCTCACAGCTGCTTTCACCACTGCTGAATGTGTTTGGTGTGCCCTTTATGTGATATTCCTCTAAACCTACAAGACCAAGACGAGAAGCAGACATGCACATGTGCAAAACTAGAACCAGCAAAATCCTGATTAGTGTGATAGTGGCCAGTTAGTGTTTGACTGGTCAAATAAATGACTGTAGCCTGGAATCAGGGAACTGGTGATGGGCATTAGTGAGCATTTTATTTATATTAAACAAGTGATGGAAAAACTAATTCACAGGTGGAGCCATATTGGAGTTAAGACCAACCAGCAGCCAGTCTGCATATCTGGTCTTGTTATTTAAGAGCTTTCCCTTTAGTTTTTTTGCCAGGATCAGAGACTTGGAGGTTTTCTATTCCAAACACAGTGGTGATGCTTCTCATGCCAGCATGCTCCAACTACGCAAACTCAACGCTGTGCTCTTACTGTCTGAGTAGTTGTCTTCCTTGTTTCCAGGTGAGCTGACTGTTGGCAGGAACAGCAGAGACCTCAGAATCTTTGGTGTCTACAAGACAAACAGACACGAGACAGTGAAACATGCTTTTAAGGTATCATCCTGCAGAACTCTGGTCTGTGACGGAGAGACCGCACCAGCAACCCCTCCACTTTTTTCACTTTAGACTAACCTATCTTCCTGCTGTTGTTCTGTTTCATCACCCACCTGAGTCGAAGCTCGGCATCTTCATCTCCCCTTGGTTCAGCTCTGTTCCATACTTTAACTTGTGATATTTTGCTCTGATGAGGAAACAAAGTAAGTACATTTTAACATTCACAAGAGATTTGAACTTCCAAATAAAAAAGACAAATTCTGTGTTTGCAATTTTTCCACTGTCCTTGCTGTGTATTTCTTTTATTTTATTTACTGATACATTTCTTACCTAAGGGATAAGAAACACTATATTAATCATTGAACAGCTACATCACTAAACACCTGTATTAGTTTAAAACAGGGCTGTCAACTAAGTGTGGCCCAGGGGCTACCATTTTGACTAAGAAGTAAGCTGAGGACCACTGTTGTGGGGCGGACGGACTGAACAGGCACCATTTTAATCCTGACTGTCACCTTGGCTTTTCTCAGCTGTATACAGAGATTAGGTTACTGACGGTCAGTAACACATGGAACTGAGTTTGAAATACGTCATGATTCTTACAGTGAAATAACATTAGTGAAACCATGGTCAGGGACCACCTGCAGTGCTTTCACTGACCACCAGGGGGCCGCAGACCACTTTAAAAACATCAGATCATTATTTGTAAAGTGAAAAACTCAGATTTCCTTTTTATAACATTTAATTTCATTTGTTTTGAAAGTCAGATGCTGTAGATGAGCTTGACATCAGTGGCCCCTCAACTGATGAGTTGAATCATCAGTTTTTCGCTGGCCTTGTTTCTTCAGTGTTTCTGAGGGTGGATGATTAATGCCGACGTTAAGCAATAAAATCAGTCATGTGTTTGACTTGAACTTCACACTGTCAGTGACTCTTTCACCACGTCAGCAGCTGAGCCTCTCACTCACATTTCACTGCTTCCTTCTTTCTCCCTGAAGTCCCATATTATTCTGCCTGACTCCAGACACTTTGTCCTATTTGATGTGGCCAGTTTAACTGAAAACGCAAATAAAATGCTAAATATTTGCCAGTAAAACCTTTAAAAAATGCTCATCATGGTCTCAGATATCATGAAATATAACAACTTGGGCTATTTTCTGACCAAATGTTTGTGGTGACCAGGAACGTTTGCTGTACATATACAGAGTAGCCTTTTTATTAGGTACATCTGCAGAACTTAATACAGTCCAATACAATGGCCCTGGCCAGTTTATTGACTGGTTTACTACTCGGGGCAGAGCTGAAGGTGGCGCTGCCCTGGTCTAAACCTTACTGAAAGGTGGTCCAGCTTTTTCTGGCCTCCTCATTTCCTCACAAGGGAGTCAGAATATTAGGAACACCTCAGAACATGATGCAGGCCAGCACTGCTTCACCACTACCTATGGGCTCTGACTGGGCAACCCCGGTTGGTAGGTGACTTAAACCTTCCCACCAACACATGAACGCACCAACAGACCTGGGTCTGCCTTTTCAACTCAGTGATAACATACAGGGATAATGATGATGAGCTCGCTGCAGCAGGTTTCATGTCTGAAAGTCAATTAACATAGAAATACAGTGATAGCTGTGGCTGTCGGGAAGGAAATCAATCTAAAATCTGACTGATTAGGAAAATGATCAGCATGATTTGTAGTGAAAGGAGCAATTCATATAAAAAAGGCAGTAGCATGGTCAAAGTCATGTCTTACCGTTCCTGCTTCAAAGCATATTCCAACATTTTTATTCTTCTAACCAGGTCGTTCTTCAGGTTCTCTTGGCCTTTTCTCTCGCCCTGCAGGAACGCTATCCTCGCCTGCACACACACACACACACACACACAGACACATAATCCATTCCTGCACCAGACTGAACCTGGATCTTGACACACAGCACAGATAAGTCCATAAACACATTTGCTTAGAAATCCTTGTACACCTCATATAACTGGAGTTGTTGCAACCTAATCACTATGTTCAGATGTTTTCTTCAGCATCATAAGTAACCCAAGTGTCTGTAGGGCCACAAAATGATTTTCACCATCAATTAATCTAAGCCACACAATGTGCAGATTAAGTGATTAATCTTTGTAACTACAGAACTCCTGTTAGCGTCCCAGGCCCCGGTGTGACGTCATCTTCGTCCAATCTTTAGTCCAACTCCGAAAAGATTCTATTTACTGACAAAGAAAAGCACCAAATCCTCAGAGACACACCTGTCACAGTTCTCCCAAACCTTTGTACCGTCTGTAGTAAAAATACAGTCATATCATCACACTTATTCTAACATGTCAAACTGAAGTGTGCTAAAACCAGTCTACAGATGCCGTTGCCTGCTGGACTGGGGAACTGGGGGACCCACTGGGAAGCAGCAAGGGGAACTGTGTGCGGAGCCGGTTATTTACTTTGTCATGTGAAAGTGAACTTGGAGACATCTCATTTCCACAAACACCTGTACGGATCTAAACATAGTCACATGTCACTGAATATTTTCAGGCTTTGGACTGTTGCTTGAATATAACAAAACAAAAATACACAAACAAAGCCTTTGGACGCAGCCACCTTCATAATGTTTTGACATTTTATAAACAAAATGATTTATTGTAAAAATAAGAATGTTACTGAAGTACCAGCAGTACCAGTACTCGTCCTCCAGAACGGCCCGTGTCCCAGTAACGTCTCTGATACTGGATCATAGTGACTAATTACTGTGTCCATCACTTTAATGCTGCAGCTGGTAAAGGTGGAGCTGATGGTAACTACCTTATATACTTATACTGGGAAGTACTTTCCATCCTGCTGGGTAGCTGGTGGATTTCCTACTGGGATCAATAGAGTCTGATGGTTCTACTGGGTTTGGTTTGATTCATCTGATTCTGGACCTGAAGGTATCAGGTACATGTAGTGTAGTAAAAAGTACACGGTTTGTCTCTGACATGGAGTCACAGGATGAAGGAGCAGGATGTGGAAGTACTCAGGTAAAGTACAGATACATCAAGACTGTACTCTAGCACAGTACATGAGTAACTATAGTTGGTTCCTTCTCACCGCTGCACCTGTCAGCCCACCTGTCTGTCTCCCCGTCCATCTGTCTGTCTGTCTGTGAGCAGCTGCTGCTGAAACCCAATGCTGACAGAGGCTGTGAGCTATTCATACTAATACACACACTGAGAGGTCTCTGCCAGCATGACCATGGCAACAGGGGGATTTGGGCTGTACTCGGGGTCACAACTTCCTCTAGTGAAGGTCGGCATCACGACAGAAGAACCAGAGGTCCTGCCCCGGCCAACAGAGACAGACAGGGAGGAGGATTACATAACACACTACGCTAACTCAGCTGTGCACTGATTGGCTGGCTCTGTGATGGACAGCCACAGCTCCACATCACCCCTGACTCACCAGGGGGGTCAGACAAGCGTGTGGACACACAGGAAACCACAAGACTCAGGTGTCGGTCGCTGATTCCAGGAGACATTCAAAGAAAATCCCTCCTAAAACATGATCACTGTCAACAGAACGGTGACCTCACTGTGAGTCACGGGCAGTATATGACACACATGATGTTTGAGACGTAAACATGAGTCTGACAGAGCTACAGAGAGCTGGACTGCAGTGGCTTGATGGTTACAACCATAAATCTGGGTGTACAGGGTAAGAGACTAGGCTTTGTCCCTGTTGTGGCCACGGTATAATGAAGCAAGACACCCACACTGACATAGCTCACCGTGTGTGTGTGGTTTTTAACAGCAGCATTTTAAGTCAGACCGCTCTTAGTGTGAACAAAGTCCAAAGCATGAAGGAAAAGAAAATCTAGCTGCATTTGTGTGAACATGGCTCATCAGGTTTAACAGCAGACTGTCTAACACTGTATAGTTTAGTAGCTCAGCCCAGCTGGAAGAAACGAGGCGACTTTACACCTGTTGTACCTTTACACCTAGAATGTGGACTAATCAAACCGTGATCCTCCAGTGCGAGCTCTCAGCGGTGAGAAGCAGCTGTTAATGCCGAGTCTCTTCGCAGCTCCTTTATTTGGATCTGCAGAGCTTCCTAGTCTATTCTCAGCTTAAGACTGGAGTCAGTCACAGCCCCCCCGCCCACTGCACCTGGTGAGCATGAATCAAACCTCCTTAGGGAGGGAGAGAGTGAGGTCAGAGCACCAGGGTGATGAAGATGACGAAGGTGTGCGTGTATGAACTGAGCTCACTGGCCTAGGTTTATAAAGCTGACAGAGGCGGGGGGGTGGGGGGCACATTCTTCTGAACAACTGTATCACTAACACACACACACTTCAGAAGGCACCAGCACCACCAACCCCATCTTTAATCAGAGTTAATTCATTTCCACGACTGTCAAAATAAAGTAATTTTAAACCAACACATCAAAGTTGTCATTTCTTTAATCATCTCCCCTTTGTGTGACTGACAGGCAGCTGAACTTTGGCCTGTGTGTTGCACTTATTTTGGCACAGGCTACTTTTAGTGTCCAGCTGGGATCGTGGGTCCAGTAGGCCAGGACACCTAGCTACAGCCTCCAGCCCGCAGCCCTGCCCTCTTCACCAATGCATGGAGTCGCCACAGCACTCTCCCTCCTACTGCCCCACGCCGACCTGCCGCCCCTCTCCAAGTAAACAAGATGACCTCTGACCTACTGGCTACATGTGTGGGTGTGTGAAATGTGTGTTTTCTGGGCAAAAGAAAATTTTAAGCATAAGGCAGAGCTGTGTCTCACAGCATCTGTTCAGTGTAGCCACAAAGAGTGAGAATAAGCACCTGCTGCGTCTTTGTCTTCACTGAAATGTGGCTGCACAGCAGCATTCAGGACACGACCAACGAGGTGGACACTGAACCTGCAGGGCATTGACCTGGCCATCTGGGGCAACTTGAGGTTCAGTATCATGCCCAAGGACACTTCAACACATGGACTAGGGAGAATGGGAATCAAACCGCTGACTTTCCAGTTGGGGGACGACCGCTCTATGTCCTGAGCCACAGCTGCTCAGCTGGTGGGATAGTATTTATTTTTTTAAATGAACTTATAGCTTTAGCAGTCCAGCTGTGAGAGCTGCACAGCAGCAAACAGCACACCCCGACTTAGTTTAATCATCACAGGAAACTTCAATCAGGTGAATTCACAGACTGTTTTCCACCACCGTGTCACGTTCGCTGCAAGAGGAGAAAATATACTGTCTGAGAAAACTCCATCACTGAAAGTTTGATGTTTCAATCTATTGTCTGATGGGAGGGAGAAGGAAAGGCAGGTCAGAGGTCACGATGTGGAGCTGCTCAGCACCTCCACCGGCGCCTCCAGCAGGATGCTAGGACTCCGATGCTCTCCTGGCTCCCTCCAGCTGTAACAGTAACACACACAGACTGAGCAGCAGTGTTTTATAGCTACAGCCGCCATCACGAGCCTGGAGCAGGACACTCATCTACTGCTTCTTCCTGTGGAGCTTTAACAGGACAGATCACATGTTCACCTCAACAAACACTACTACGTGTACAGAGTGTGAGAGGGAAGGATCGAGCTTCTCTGCCGGAGGAAACCATGTTGAAACTGCAGACAGGCCTTGATCCCAGTTTACGCAGCAAACATAAACGGGTCATTTCCCTGAGCTGGAGACACAGACACTGAGACTCTGACATCATTCCAGCAAAACCACAACTTCACAGAGACTTATCAATAAAGCTGCAGGTACGAACACTTTACACACTGACTGTTTTGCAAAGAACACAAAAATAATCAGCAATTAGTGCCAACAAAACGGCCCAAACTACATTCACTACCTTTTCTGTATCATGCCAGTAAAAAAAGCACTTCCTCAGTTTTATCTTCAGCAGTTTTCAGACTGTTGTGTCTAAACAGTGGCTTAGACTAAGGAACAATCAGAGACCTGACAGTCTGCTCCCACCACCTCAGAAGCGGCGTGCAGATTAGGCAAATTAGACCGACGGTGGATTAAAAAGCCTGTGGTTGGTTTTAGATGGGATTCTGAACATCAGAGGCATCATGGTATCTGTGTGGCTTCCTGTTGTGTGTCTGTGATGTCTGAATGTATGTTATGAAGAGGAGTCACACAAAGATGGAAATGCAGGAGGTCGTCGATGAACACTGTTTTATCTGATCGTGTTTTCCTGCATTAGCATGGAAAAATCCATCATAAACGGAAATGATTTCCATCAGATACTGATTATTGTGAAACAGATCTAAATATGAAGCTAAGAAGGGACTCTGTAGAACAAAAGCAGCTTTTAGACCTGAATTACTGCTTTGTCTCTACAAACATAGCTTAACAAAACTAAAATAAGCCAGGGCTGAAATAAACATTTATTTTTATTGTAAATTTACCATAAAATTACTGCCGTGATTTCCTATGATTAAGTGTTAAATCTACTAAATGAATTTGTCTAAACTGGAGCTGCAGTAATTAGTTGATCCCAAGCTCTGGTGATAATCTGTTCATCGTTTCAAAACAAAAAGTCAAATATTCTTTCAGCATCTCAGGTGAGGCTTTGTAACAAACGGTAAACTCAAGTCTGTTAGGATGTCGGCTCTGGAGTCTGGGATGAATACGTCATCATTTATAGACATTATATAGACAAACAAGAAAATAGTCTGCAAATTCATCAATAATTCCACATCAGGCCAAAGCGGCTTTGAAACAACAGACTACTTTGATAACAAGCTCATTTCTTAAGCAAAAATCCTCAACTTTTTTGCGTTACATTCTGAGATGTGAGAGTTTGGTGCTTTTGTTTTTCCAGATGTAACAATAAACTGAACATCTGGAGAGTCAGGTGAATAAACAGATGAATGTGAATGCATTTCTCTGGGCTGTGGAACAGTATAACATGTATTTTCCACTCTTTTCTTTTGAGCTGCAGCAATAAGTCGACTGACTGTAAACAAAAATACTTCAATCTTCAAAAAATGATCTGGTTCCAGCTTGACAACAGAACGTGGGCTTAATGAAACGGTGAATGGCAGTTTTTCACTTTTTAATATTACTTCAACACATGAATTTATCAATGAGCATCTATTCAGTAATTAAAATAAGTATTACACTTGCCTTTATGTAACTTTTTATTTTAAGACTAAGTGTTCTTTGTTACTACATACCTACATACGCATGCGCCACACGGAGTGGCAGCAAGTTACAGCAGCTGTGTCCTCGTTGTGTTCTTTCCCGTGTTTCTATGAAGTTCTGTTCTTATGGTGTTAGGTTGGTTGTTCTCTATTGCTGCTGTAACACAGAAATTTCCCCACTGAGGGATCAATAAAGTACTTACCTACCTACCTAAACTAACTGTTTCAGCTCCAGTAAATGTTCCATCAAAACTGTCCCAGCCTTTTAAACTTTCCTCCAAAAGTTTCATCTGACTCTTGGCTCTGCATGATAAACCATTTCCTGTGACTGACAGCTCATTAACTGGCAGGAACTTCACCTTCACTCCTTCATACATTCACCTCTTATCAGGAGCTGTGACAGAGTCATGCAGAAGGCATCCAGAGTCACACCACAACAAGTTGGAGCAGAGCAAACACACACACACACACCGCCAAGACCCTGTGAGGGCTGCAGGGTGTGTTACACAAACATGACCAGTCACACATTTCAGCCTGTGACAAGCAAATCTACGTAAGCCCGCAACTACCGACTGATCTGCAGACTATGTTTTCAATTAATCAAAAAATAACGGATTCTACAACACACAAATAAATTACCAAAACAATCACAACCTTACAGAGCCAAGGGTGACGCCATCAGACGTTCTGCTTGAACAAACAACAGATTAACATATAATGACGTTGGGCAGTGGGACATTGTAATGATCATCTTTTTTATTTTACTACTTTTTGACATTTTAGATGAATCAATAATGAAAATAGTCATCAGCTGCAGCCCTAGTTCTCATGCGCATTTACTGAAGTTACCTTGTTGGATTGACAAATCCCGACAGTGATTTTAATTATTTTCTGTCTTCCTGTTTCTTGTGACTTGGCTTGGAGTTTATTTTGATTTGTTGAAAAACAATGTGATATGTAACTAATCATATATAATGAATGAAACTTTTTCTTTACTCAAACAACTACACTTGACCACAGCCAACTACAACAGCAAACATATACACCAATTCATTTGTAAGAGTCATCCAGTAACAACAGTATATCACTTACAGTTAACCATTTACTTGTCAGTAGTTTTCTACTTGTAAAGCGGGATTTTGAATGCAGGACTTTTATTGCAATGGGTTATTTTTACACTGTCGTACTGATACTTGTAGTAAAAGATCCGAATACTTCATCAACCACTGTAGGTGCTTTTTTTTTTTTTTTAGAAATGAATCAGAAATAGTCACCCTTCTCTTACACAAACCTTTAGTCAGCTTTACGGTGTCATATGCGACATTATAAACACATTATAGGAGACTGTTAAAAATGGTAACTCAAAAGTTAATTTCATACATTGTAATGACTTCAAGTAGAGTTGCTATTTAAAAAAGCTGATATTCTCAGCAAGAAAGCATGTTTACTCTTGGAATGGACTATTTCTACACTGATCTATTTGTAGTTTCACTTAAGTGAAAGAGCCGAATAGTTCTTCCACCATTGATAGCAACATTGCTAACTCACCTAGCTTGACAAACCAAAATGGCCTCATATATACATTTGCTGACAGTCAACTTCTCCGTTATTAACAGTTGATCTCACGACTACTAGAAGAAGTATCAGTACTGACACATCATAAGCAGAAAAACATAATCTAAAAGGGAAAAGTGACAACAGTGTTACGTTAGCGCTAGCTGCTAAGTTATCTTTTGACAGCACTATGAAGCTAACACCTAGCACCACTTAAGCTAACGGTATCCCAGCGCATTCCGCTATTCGTGCCATTGCCCGTTAGCTTAGCCACAAACAATTGGGTGAACTTTCAGCAGATTTCACTAAATGTTAAGAGGTATATCAAATGTGGCTTGGCAAACACCAACAGCTTTCTTTGTAGTAACCAGTCGGCTCGACACCGCCACGATTGTTGTTGTTGTTAGCTTATGTTAGCCTGATTGGCATTCAGCACTAGCATAGGCTAAGTTGGCCAACCTGGAGCTCGGCCCTCTCCACTTCCCAGTGTGCCCTCTCCATCTCGAACCGGGCCCACTCGTGCTGGATGTAGTGCAGGATACCGGGAATAGTGTATTGCTGCTGTGGCCGGGGCAGCTCGTCCGGCACCATGACTACGCCGCCACCTCCGATCGGCGGATTAGCGCTGCTGTTTTTTTCCTGTTGTTGCTGCTGCTGCTGCTGCGG